TCGCGCCGTCGCGATTTTCGCGATCGACCGCCTCGTTCGTAGCGTTACAGCGAGCGGCCGCGGCTTCGTCATCGTCGTCGTCGTTATTGTTATTATTACCGTTACGATACTGACGGTGCCTTCCACTATTACGACGATTGTTGCTATTGTTGTTTTGACGATCGAGGAGAAGCGCGCCACTGGAGGGTGGCCACCGCGAGCCACCACCTGCTAGGGACTTTGCCGTCGCGGTGACGGACATCGCGACACTGCGGCCCATCGCCGTTCCGCGATGCTCGGAGGCGCGCCTGCGCCCCGCACTCCCGTTGGTGGGGACGGCGCTCACCCTCCCACCCTGTTCACCACGTTCACGTTCACCGGCGGTCGCGAGCGACTCCGCGGCCCGCAAGTACTCCACTTCTTCGAGCCACGACCAATCCACCTCGGAACCTTCCGAGCAAACGTCCTCGCTTGGTTTCATCGCTGATTCTACTTCCGGCGGTTGTCTGCAAGCACAGAAAAATTATGCGGGTTTAATCTTTACCGGGTTGAGCTATGCGGGTATCATCACTTCCACAACGATTAACCCGAATACTGGTGAAATAGCTTTCTTTTGTTGCTTGTTTTAACTAAGTGTAGCGGTCACCAACTGACAAACAAATATTTGTTAATTCAAACATATGACATATATTTTAGAGTTTATTTAGTCTAAATTTTAGTTCATAATTGCGTTTCAAGACTGAAAAAGATTTCGGCGTAAAAAATATCAATGTATGCTCATTTGATCGCATTTTTAAAAACGTACCAATAGATGGCCCACTCTGTAAAAACGTACCAATAGATGGCCCACCCTGTAGCTTTCTTTTGTAGTAATACACTGAGAAAAAAATTACTATTTCAAAAAGTTACTTGTTTTAACTAAGTGCAGCGGTCACCAACTGACAAACAAATATTTGTTAATTCAAACATATGACATATATTTTAGAGTTTATTTAGTCTAAATTTTAGTTCATAATTGCGTTTCAAGACTGAAAAAGATTTCGGCGCGTGATTTGCAGAATTGGATATGTACATATATAAATTCAAATATTTCATCTAATACTTAAGAATTCATACATTTATACCGAAATATTAATATAATCTAAAATCCGCTTTAACCGAAAATAGGATTTCTCTTACTTAATTAGATTTATTCTCCAATTTCATATTATAATTGTTTAAATTGTAGATATTATTAGAAATTAATTTTAGAAATAATGTTTCTTGATTATTCAAATTAATAATATTAACTGCGTTCAGCAGAAAAAGTAACTTTGCTTTTCTTAGTTTCTCATTGGCTCTAAATACATAAAATCAATCATATTGAAAAATCTTAAAACAATATTTGCAAAAAAGTTTTTTTCCTGCTGAACATAATCATTAATAGCCAATCGATTTCTTACAGGCAACGTTTTTCTCTTCAAATTGTCTTTCATGTAAAAAATTCGAACAACCTCCTTTTGACGTGGAAGCAACAGGTTTTCCCCGCTTTTCCCACTAAACTCGAAAAATTTTCGTATTAAAGCGCGGCAGGTCAATAAACTCGATTTTGTTTTCTTCAATTTTACATGTCCTCGTTAAAACTTTAAATTAATAAAAGTAGCACATTTCTTTTGCCGATAACACCGCGGCTGTTTTTCTACTGCGTTTTTCTATTAGCCTCGATCATCTTGGACCTAATTATTTTATCGTCCAATAACTGCTTATGTTCGTTTCTACCGATATAAATTAACTGTAATCTTTTCAACTTACTCTTCATCATTTTCTAATTCTTAAAACTAAAAATCAAGAGTTCGTTGGACCGAAATTGAGATTAAATTACATTGGTAGAAATAGGCATTAGTAATTCTTTAATATGATATTATTAGGTTCAATATGATGAACTTTTGCGCTATTTTTATTAATATAGACTTTTAGTCCGCCCACATCTCCCTTTCCTGCACGAGATTTTCCTGGATGGAAAGGAATGATAAGAGTTCAACGCATGCCGAGAACAGTCCAAAAGGAAGAGATTACTCGAAACAAGGACTTCCTGAACGGAAACTCCTTGTTCGTCGAGAGTAGCACGTGCCGCTTCGAGGGGTCCAAAAGCGTCACGGAAGGATAGACGGGAGGAAGAAGAAATGTCACCTTGATGCGGGTTCCACGGCTCGCGCACACGACCCCCGTATACCGTGTACCGTGACTTCCGGTATGAAGCGTAACGCCTGTGAGCGACCACCTAGTCCGCGCCAGAATGCACTCCTCTACGACGATCCCCGTGGATTCCCGAGTCCCGACGTCGGCCACCGCGAGACGACGAAGGATAACAGGAATCGCTCCCTACACGCGTGTGAGAGCATGGCATGAGCCGCGCATACCTGCTTGCATTGCGTCCGCCCGCGTGGCTTCTACCCTCGCCTCGCCGGAGAACGTCGCGCGATTACGAATTGTGGGAGGATAATCGTAGGAATGTGGGTGGAGAAGCTCGGTAATTTCTCCTCATACCTCGGAACATAGAACATTGAGTTGTTCGCAGGTGTGCGGCCGAGGGGATGGAGGGGAGATAGTGGTTAGACTAGATTACAGCAGATGATTCAAGTCTCTTGAGGAAAGAGGGGAAAATTATGAGAAAGTATGACTGGAGCTATATTTTTTTTTTTTGCATAACGCGCGCGTACATTTTGTCAAAGTAGATTATTTAAATATACGTATATTTTTAAGGAATTTGTTTCAGGTATAGACCTCACGTTCCGAGAAATATACCAAAAATAGATTTTAACTACGTGTCAATGCTCTTTCATACACTGCAAAAATATGTTAATTTTAACTTAAAGACTTCTAAGATATATGCTAAAATATTAAAATTATTTATAATATTAATATTATATTTTTGTGTTTATTTTTTGTGTTTCGATATTTTAATATTTTAATTTGAATGCCTCAGAAAGTTCATTATACTTCTTCAAGTTCAAATTAACATTTTACTTTTTACAGCGTATCTATATTTAATGAACTTGCGTATATAAAAACTGTCGTTATACAATGTAAATTTGTTAATGCATTAAAATGTATGCCAATTTTATAATTCAATGCCGTCTTTTCGCTTGAAAAGTCAGGATTTTAAGATGTTTTCTAAAGATTAAAATGATTGCTCAAATAACACAAATAAAGATAACATTAATATTGAGTTGGTCAATAATTTCGCTTATTTTTGGAAGATGACGATATTAACGCGGGATAATTTCTACAATGATGTCAGTAATAAATTTATTTGCATTTAGTAAATATTTATTTATATTTAATAAATATTTTTAGAAAGATGATGTTTTGATATTTAAAAAAAGTTTGCTACCGTTAAATTTTGAACATCTGGCATTTTGAATATGAAAAATAAAAATAAGTATTTTTAGTATATTATGCTCTTTTATTTCGACAAAAAATACGCGACACAAACAACAGTATAAAAAAAGAAACAGCAATGTGCCAAAAATATTTATTCTTATTGTCCATATTCAACACAGTGTCAAATGTTTGAAACACAAACAATCTCAATAAAACTTTTTCTTCGCGCGTTGTAACATTGTCTTTCAGAAAATATTTACTATAAATATAAATAAATATTTACTAATGTCGAGATTTTTTACTAGTGAGATCATTTTCTCTATAAATAGCATATTTTTGTACCTATAGAATTTATTATAGTGATGCATTTTGATGCGAGAATCTCGAATATCGTCTCGAAATTTTTTTCTCGTATCATTAAAAATATCATTTCCGAGATTATCATATATCATTTGTTTTTCTCGTCTCGGTCTCGTCTCGAAAAAACCGAAGAAATATCAAAATAAGAAATAAACACTACCACCGTCATTTGTCTGACGTACACAATTTTGCAAATTGCGAATTTACTTCCATTTTCGCCTTTTACAAACGGAAATGAAACGAGATAATCGATATTCTTGAATGTCTCGCGATAAAATTCGAGAATCTGGAAAAGCAAGAATATCGGTCCATCGAGACGAGAAAATCGTATCAATCATTTGTTTTTGTCGAGACCAAATCTCGGTATCGGTATTTTCTCGTCTCGTCTCGCTCGAATGCATCACTAATTTATTCTCTTTGTTTAAGCAAAAAATTTAGGCTATAATCTTTGCCTACTCTACTTTCTTTTCTCTATGTTCCTACGTATCTAATTTGGTCGATGCAGAAAGCACGTAGTAGTAATTCAGAATCTCTAGCAATAAGACTTTGGTAAATTATTTAGCAATGTTACGCGCCGTGGAAGCTTAATAATTTCTGATATCTTAGCATCGCCCGAGAATTGCTGAAGGATATAAATTTAAATTATTATTTACAAGATGAAAAAAAAAGTGAAATGCAAACAAACGTGATTTCGCACTCTAATATCCATAAACAAATTCTATGGACGATTTACGCAACACCTTAATTGCATTTTTTTTTTCTATCCTACCAATCTCACATTGAGTTAATTCCGAGTTTCTCTGACTGTGAATCGTAGATTTTTTTCATTTAAAAACTGCCTCGCATCGTGGACACGCAGCGAGGCATTGAGGGATTTCGTCACAAAGCAGCGCGCATAACTGCGACGCGGCTTTCCGGATGCGTAATGTCCGACCGACATGGCGCGGCTCTCACCTTATTGTACGCGAGTCGCGCGTGGGAAGTGTTTCGCCAATACAACAACTGAAATTTGTTGTTCGAACCCCGCATGTCTACGAGAGAGGTGAGGCCGCATAACGTTCGTGCGCCCGATGACCCGACTGCTTTCGCAGCGCCCGCGGCGGTCGCGTATCAATCGGGGACCGACTTTCTAAATGCGGTCGTGCCCTTTCCCAGCGAGTCTGTCTATCGATAACGATATCGCCGCGCTATGTCGACCCTTCAGTGGCCCAAAAAAAAAAACATATTTTTGTACAAAATAATTGTCGCTGATACGATTTTACGTTGTAATTGGCAAAACAGATTTCAGAATTTAAAATTTAGAAAATGAAACAAAGTCGAACTTAGATTTTCAAATAAAACACGATTATTTTTAAGTGTTAACAGCGCAATAAATCTGTCTTGTAATTATAATTATAAACTGAGCTGTAGTTTAAATGCATTTTTTTAAAGTGAAAACTTGGTGTAAACATTAATAATATTTAAAGTCTTATATTTATGTAACACCGTCTTAAGATCAGTCTTCAGATAAATCAATTACAGAACCGTATAGCATTTTACATTGTTAGATATTAAAGGGGCATGGCAATCCAATCTCTTGAGTTAAAAAAGTAACACATTTTGTTATTTTTAACTTCCATGTGCGTCAGTGTAAATCAATCCATTTCTGTGGTTAATTGACGTAGTAAAGTTACGAAGTAAACAATGTCCAATTAACGTATTCACTTAATAAATAATAAACAAAATTTGAGATCGAATTTAATACAATGTCTTAAATCAAAATAATAATAAACAACAAGGAACATTGAATTTAACTATTTATTCTATTATTTCAATTAAATTAATGACATATTGAATACGAGGAGTGACGATCTTCAAAATGATTAAAAATAACTCAAATTGCGGATATAATTTGACATTATAAATATACGAATTTGACAGTGGAGGACATTACTTAAAACAATTTTAAAATTAGAACGTATTTATGAATATTAAGAATCTTCGTACGTTACTTATTCACGTTCTAATTTATGTGTATATATCGAATTTATTTCGAAAATCAGAGATGAGTCGTGACATAGAAATCTTTGTGTTTTCAATAAATGAATTTTCCGCTAGTAGATTTCTTATCCTTTTCAGGAGAAGAAGACCTATTCCTTTTTATTTATTTTTTTATATTTTATTGTGTGTCTCTTTATCTTTATACTTTATCACCTTGTTCTACGAATTGCATCTCCAATAAGCATTAAGCCTTAAACACAATTAAAACCACAAGCAATGGGAACAGGGGAGTAACAGATTTCAACTCGGAAACCGTGCATTCCGATATATACACAATTTTTGATAAATTGAAATTTCTTATTCCTTGTTCCAATTGCCTGTAATGCTTTTTATTGCTTGGCGGAGATGCAACTTGTAAGACAAGGTGGATAAGTACAAAGATAAGATAAAGAGACATATAATAAAATATAACGTATTTAAGGCTTTACGGCGTCAGAGACGCGACTTTATTCGCGGATTAATTCGGGAAATGACTTTCTAAACACGGTCGTGCCCGTTTTTGACGCGCCCATATCAGATGGCGATATCGCAGTCGTATTGTAATGGGCGACAAAGATCTCTTTGAGCGGTATCAGTACCGCACCACTATTGTTATTAATTATTTCCTACGCGTGAAACAAAAGCAGCTGTTTCGCTATTGTTGCGAAAGTTGAATTGCTCCTGGAACGCGGCGTTAACGAGCAAACGGAAGAGAATTACGGAGAATTACAGGTACGTTATAAGGTGGCGGTGATTAGTAAATAATCCAATTCGCGAGAAAAAGTAGACGATAATAGTAGCTTCTTCATTCGTTACCAAAGATAATGATATTTCATTCTCATGTATTATTTCGTAACGAAATAGGAGCAGAAATATATGGCTTAAACCTTTAGAGGTATGCAAAGCCATGATAAGTTATAACATGTCTCTGATAATAAAAAAGGAAATACTCTTTTCAATCCAATAAGCTTTGAAGTTATTAATTACAAATTTGACAGCAAAATCATAAAATTAAAAATGGTTAAATATATTATTAAGCTAATTACAAATTTTAAATCAACACAAATCTGTAAAATCACACATTTTAAAATAGCGAATCCAACATGAATGACTGAAGTATTGCAAAAGTTTAAATTTAATTTATGCAAAATTTATGAAGATTTATTTATTTATTTTAAATTTAGGTCCTCGATTTTCGCCATACTCGATTCGTTATTTTTAATTTTATGATCTCACGAATTCATAATCATCTGGAAAACCGATAAATATAAAATCAAGTACAAATCAATGCAGATATGCAAAAATTATTTTCTTGACGATGTTAAATCCGTCATTTATTATAAATTTCGTGATTTTAATTTCATAATCAGCAAAATTACAAACGTCTATAAATACTTGATTTATGTAATACAATAAATTCAGAAAAATTCTATCTGTACATTTTAACGTCTCAAAATCAATGTCAGATTTGGGATCTGATTAAACATTTTCAGTCTAGAATGAAATTTTGGTGATTTAAAAACAATTCGACGACTCTCTAGAAGCTAAAGTGCTATAAAAATACGATTATCTTTCTTCTTATATCGGTATATTTATCGTTAATTCATCGTTTCGTATATAATATATGTTGTTGCGGTAGCGAGCACGCGAGGACCAGAATTTTCCGCTTTCACATGTCATACGTAATATTCCATCCCTCCGAAGCGTTTCGTTCAATTCGAAACGGGGCTTAATTTATCATGTCCGCGTACTTACGTGAATGCTTGCCTCGCGACACCATATCACGAAATCATCATGAAAATGCATACTTATACGATGTCATTTACCTGTACGGCTTGACCGTGATGATTTTTTTCTTTTTCAAGTGAGAGCAACGCATTTGCGTTTAGATTCCTAATATTCACACTATCGTTCTGATCCAGCAGTCGTTAGAAAGTTTCACTATCTCCAGAGAGAGTAAATTTCTGAAATTTAAGAAGTTTCTTGGCTTTCAAATTTTTAATTAAAAAGAAGGAAAGTATTGCGCTTGAATGTGCGCGATTGGATCCAACATGAAACTTTTAATGTAAAAATCGAGAGTGATTTTTAACGAATGTTGTGATATTCCAAGCGGTAACTACTTCAAATACTATTATTTATAACGTCAAATTATACCTATTATTTGAGTTATTTTTAATCATTTCTATAGATCGCCACTGCTCTTATCTAATCGTTATCTAATGTCATTTTACTAAAACAATGAAATTAAACAATTTACTTCAAGAAAATGTATAAATGTTAAAAATTTGATACAAATTTAGTTTATTATTTATCAAATGTGTATGTTAATATAAACGACGTGGACATGGAAATGGATTGATTTACGTTTTAACATACTTATATGAAAACTAAAAATAACAAATATTATTTAACTCAGGAATTGGATTGCTATTGCTTCTTTGATATCTATCAGTAAAGGTCTGCCAGCTAAAAGCGGCTCTCTAAAACTCTCGAGCTTACACTTGTACCAACAGTTTGAAAGGTAGGGCATACGTAATGCATTCGCGGTCGTCAAAGAAGATCTGCATTTTCATTGTCAGTGTCTTTCGATCGACTTCGTGAGATCCCGCATCGCACGTCGTTTCTCATCGTCGCTAAAGCATCATGTGCACGTCGAGCAAGTCTGAATTGAAACAGTTTGCACGCTCGTTAGGCTTAGGCCTATGTAAATACTTCCGGCACGAAAGTGCGCTTTCCTGCCGACGCATTCGAGTCTACCTACGCGAATTCTTATATTCAAGTTGGTTTACCGATATGAGCTCACCGTGAGAAGTTGCTACAAAGACAGATGAGATTTTAGCTGAACGAGAAGTCAAGATAGAAAGAACTTTTTACAAAAACATCGCAATATCTTCGTAATAAAGAATTAAAAAACACGATTTTAATTTGATTAAAATATTCGTTTACTTTCTAATCGACGTGAATTAATGAGAGAAATTGAACAATCTCAAATTTGTCGAGTTTTTAAAACAAATTTGTCGAATTTTTATTTACCACAAAATTTAGTACCTTTATTTAATTTTTCTTTAATTTTCAATAATTACAAAAGTTGCATTAGGAATATTTTTTTGTGTATATGAAAAGTTTTCAGAGTTTTAATATTTATTTTAAAAAATTATTAATTTACAGAACATTATATAATCCTCTCAAAAAGTTTGTTTAGCAATTCCGTTCTTTTTTTTTACTGACGTAAAGCACACAGAAAAAAACAGATTTGCTCAAGTACTTAAAAATTTACAAGATACAAATTTGAAAATAATTTTACTGGATCATCAAAATCATTATGTAAAACATTTAAGCATTAATGACAATTCAACAAAAATAGTTTTAACATTTTAGCAATCAATTTGAGCATCCTGCATAATTATTTTGATAATTCAAACAAAATTGTTTTCAGACCTATATCTACCTAAATTTTTAGATATTTCAGCCAAATCTTTTCGTGCATAAACTCCTTGCGTGAGAAAAGTATGAAAATATAACGACAACAATCATACCTCGTGAGAAAGCTGGACGTTCCACAATTGGAAATCGACGGTCCGCAGCGGTATTCCTTGAGACTGGTGGATCTATCGATACCAGGAAGCCCATTGGTAAAAGCCGGGTTTAGGTTTGCCCCTTCTGTCCACGATTTATGATGAAGCTCTTGAAAGGAACGCCTTTTGCTTCCGCGCTTGAAGGCAACATTTTCCTCTCCGCGTCTCTTGAGAACGACTCTCGTGCGAGATTCCGAATCGATAGAAACGGATCTGTCTTTGGGCGAGTTATCCTCGCGAAACTTGTTTGAATTCGGCGGGGATTCGTAGACCGAATCGTCCGGCTGAGCATCGTACTCACTTGGCGTGACGGCTTTCGTCTCCTCCACGTCGCTTCTACCGTTCGCTTCCTCATTCGAGATCCTGGACGACGACTCAAAGGGGTAATTGACCCTGTCTTCTTCCCCTCCGATCAAGAGACTCACGGGAGATATCATGCGATGCGGGTCGATGTTCTCGTTCCTCGCGCGGTCGGAGCAGCTCGTCTCCACTTGGTCTTCGTTGTCGTCGTGCTCGGTGAGGAAATCAAAAGCATTGTTTATCTCCCGCGTCTCATATGTTTCATCCTCATGCCTCAACGTCGAAGCTTCCCTCGTTCTTTCGCAGCTCGATTTCGTCGCGTGATCCACCGTGTCCTGCTGAGTTTCTTCGTTAATGCCCGAACAGGTCCTGTGTATCACAGGTTCTAGATTCCTAGTAATATCACGTACCCGCTTGATCGTGTCCGATGAGACCACGTCGATCCTTTTGCGAATAGGTACCACTTGATCGTGACCCAAGGTCACCAGGATATCACCATTATCGGTGCTGTTCAGCACCCGCTCTTGCTGCCTGGTGAGGGAGAGTTTCTGCTCCAGTTTCGGAGGACACACGTCTAACAGATGCTCTTGTTCTTCGGGCGTCGCATCATCCACAGTGACCCGCGATACACATACATCGTTTCCAAGATCAATCAGATCGCCGTCTTCATTGGACGCCATCTTGTGACGAATTACACCTGCAATGATAAAGAGCGCTTTCCGTTAATTGATATTAAACGAGAGATCTTAATTGACATTAAACCTCTCAAGGACGCAAATCTTTCCCTCATTGAATAGTTTAAAAATAATATAGTAAGTTAGTAATATAAGAAATATATTAAAGTATCTCTCCAATATCATGAGAAAGCTACAATTTTTATAATCCACACATATTCCAAATAAAAAATACATTTTCTACGTATTTATTAAGAATTAATCTGTTTCTTAGTGTGTATTAAGTATTTCCACGTTGCGAGTATTTGCGATGTAAGCTAAAGTGTTTAAAAGAATCGTTCGCACATATCGTTGATTCACGCGATTTCTAAGCGCTGACTGTGATTATTGATTTAAACGAACTATTACACTTCGAGAGCCATCCGAGATCATCACATTAACTGTGTGTGAGCGAAGTGTGTTATTACAACCTTATGAACCCGTCCTAGATTTATCTAACCTATTCAAGAAATCTTTAGTCGTAAACCGGAGGAACATTCTCTCAACGATTGACCAGATAGAATCACCTCGCTTGAACCTTCCACAAACAGACTCGCTAATTAATTGCGCTGTTTCTTTAATATCTCTCTCTCTCTCTCTCTCTCTCTCTCTCTCTCTCTCTCAGTTTTACACTCTCTGTTTTACGTGCATGTTTCTGTATTTTTATTTTTAAGAATACGCTTCAGGGGAATTTATTCCTATAGACCTCGAAATAAAACAAACTCTCTGCTTCTCTCTCTCTCTCTCTCTCTCTCTCTCTCTCTCTGTGTCTCTCTATTTCATTCTCTCTCACTCTTTCTCAGTTTCTCTGCTTTACGTGCACGTTTCTGTATTTTTATTCCTAAGAATATGCTTTAGGAAAATTTATTCCTATAGGGCGCAAAATAAAACGATGTGTCTTCTGTCTCTCTCCCCCCCCTCTCTCTCTCTCTCTCTCTCTGACCGACTCACCACTTCGTATATACCGAAGAAAGTTGTGTAAAAGTATGCCCGCCATATCGCGACCTTGTCACATTCGTAAAATCGTTCGCAAGCTCGTCCACATCAGGAACGACTGAGATCCGAGGAAGAGAAGACAACATTATCATCATAAGTGTTCGCAATCGTTGGCGATAATTAACGACAAGGTACTAATAAGTGAGCGACGTGCAATATTCAACGGCGAAGAATGACGGCGCACGCGATCAGAGCTTTCATTTTTTATAACTTCACGACATATAAACTACCCGGTTTCTACTCTTTCGCAACTACCGAATGTATCATCGCCCATCGGGAAATGTTCGACGTTAACGCTGGCGTATGCTTAATGCATGACAACGTTTAAATATTTTGCAATATTACTTTGTACTTGTGGAATATGTATTATGTCTTATCGTGCACGATATGTTTACGATTGAATTACTTTCCATCTAATTTCCAACAATATCGATGCGTCAAGCTTTCCTAACAGTCGTTCTGACTTTTCTTCGCCATTTTTCAATTTCCCTAGCTTTCACCGATTCTCTCTGTATCAGATTCGAAGCGGCTCTGTATTATTAGTGTATGGCAAAGCCATCTTCTCTCTTCACTTATCGATCAGAAGTCCGAATGAGAAATCTCGTTCGATTTTTTTCTGGAATGTCATTTCAGTTAACGCGAGTACTGAACATGCGTCTTTTTCATCAATAAATTACGTACACTTGCAACGTATTTTTTTCCGCTATCAAATAAAACTCAGAAACAGAATTGATAAGAGATAATGTTTTTTTAAGAACAAAACATTCTTAATAAAGAGTCAATAAACAGTCAAATTTTATAATCAAAAATTATCATTTTGACTCGCATGACGTTAAAATAAAGTCAATTTAAACAAAGAATTAATGCTATTTTGACTTTTTATTTACTTGGTGATGATGTCTTGTGATATCGTTATAACTTAGTTATGATTCTACCTTGACTGATGAAAACTTATTTTTCATTTTCTACGCGGACTTCGAAGGAAATCGAAGCGAAACCACATATCGATACTCCTTTATTACGGCTCATAAACTAGCGACGAATAATGTATTGTCGTATTCCAATTTTGCCAGAATAATGTCTAGTCATCGCGAATTAAGAGTGCACGCCGCGCCAACAAGTCACTATTATATCGATATACATATATGTATATCGGTTGAATAATCACCAATTCGTTAGCATACAGCGATGTTATAAGTTCATAATAATCTTGATATATTTCCGACTGTATACATATCGTTTTTCTGACAAGATTAATTTTCCCCGGTTCTCCAGCTAATTAACGTCCACGCGCTACGAGTTAATAATTCCGCGAAATTAACAAGCTAATTAGCGTCACTATGCCCGGCGTTCGAACGTCCGCGAAATATAGAAACATAAATAAACTATAAATAATCCAATAAATAACCCGAAGAAACGATGAATCCACAAGACCGGCCGTTTCAGCCGTCGGCTCGGACTGATTAATTACCGTCAACTTACGTGTATACATACGGGCGTTATGAGTTCACTTGACGTGCACACAAATTTATTCGTCGCCGTTAAACGCTCAGTTAGACCCCGTTCTCACGACCCGCGGCCGGCCAGAAAGCAAACAAATGATGTAATTGTATACAATTACTCGGCCGACGGCTCTCTGTCATTCCGCTCACGTTCAACCGAATTAACAACAGTTGCCGCCGCTTGTCTACTCTCTATGTAAGTGCCAAGACGCTCCGGAATAATAGTGAGGAAACTAATTCGCGTGTGCACTCCGAAAAGAAAGCGTCTTCAATTCCAAGTACAAGAAGATCTTTCTCTCGTTTTTAATGAAACTCAACGAACGAGGGGGAACACCCGTTGTTTTTAATTAAAAATTACAGAATTTAAAGTTCTCGCGTTACATCTGTCTTAAATTGTGACGTCAGAAGCGAGAACATAGTACGCAAAATATATTAATGTGAAAATACGTTTTAATGGCACAATTCATTTACAATCGATAGAACCGATTTGTAAAAGCGAAAATTCTCCTTTTGTTATGTTAATTAATAAATACTCATATGTCCCGAAATGAATTATACACAACCACAAACAAAATAAGCTGTGTGTTCACAGCTGTGACAAAATGTCAAATTAATAATATCTAGAAATATGATTTAATTTGTCTCCAAAATAAGATAATGAATTTTTGGTATTTTAACAATTTATTCTATCTATTGCAAGTGCTCTTTTATTGAAAAAATGTTTCTATTCAAATATAGTTTGCAAGAATTTTTATTATAGATATATGTTTCCTCGCTTTTGACGTCACACTCTGAGATAGTATAGTGGTAAGTGGACAAGAGCCTTAATGAAAAATATAAATCATGATATAATTGAAACACTAAAAAAACTAAGTTTCAATAAATATTTGTCCGAATAGTTCTAAGTAAATATTTACTAAAAGCAAACATATATTTATTTAATATAAAAATTATTAATTTGATCTAACTATCACTTTTTATTGAGTAAATATTTATGTAAGCAATAAATATTTACTTAGTACTATTATATTAAAAGAATTATATAATAAGATTTAGTAAACTTTTTTTCAAATTCTAAAGAATTTCAAACTGTTGTTTTTATACTTTTTATCGAATTTTATTCCAAACATTTATATCATATTTTTCCATATTCACAGCTTTAACGAGACCGCGGTTCGTCGAAAAAATTTTCTCGTTCTGTAATGTTATAAAAAAAAAAACGTGACTAAACGTACCGCCTTGATGACAGATCGTCGTGTACATCGCGCTTGTCAGCGAAAAGGTGCGACTACCGGAAGGTTAAATATAATCATAATTTCTACACGTAAATTAAGAAAAATCGCCCTTGTTAGGTGGTGAGAAATTGAAAAGCGCGCACGCAAGACATCCCGCTTAAAAACAATAGCAGAATCTTTGTTTCGCGAGACTATGAGACTCATAATACTAAACAATAACTAACGTTATAATTCTTGGAATATCATAAACGTGTTAATGGCGCAAACCAAGAGTTATTTTCCTGCGCCACTTACAGGTTTATTAATCACAAGTTGCAACACTAATCAATTACGAGTAGAACTCTACGGCTAATAGAGTTAATAACGTGTCGCGCGAAGAAAAAAAACTTGTAAAATTGGCGAGTAATCGTCCAACGTTAAAAATTAAGTTCCGGACATTAGTATTATAATAATTATAATAGTTTTAATTTTCCAATCAATAATACTTATTATACCACTGTTGTAACATTCCATTTTCGTTCTTCGCAATTAAAAAGAATTTATGTTAATGTCGTGACACATTAAAGCGTAGGTCATAAATTTGCATTGTTTTACATTGCACGAACATAAACACCGTCGTCGGAAATGTAGAAAGATGAAGACCCTTGTTATCTCCAAATAAAAAAGTAGGTCCGTACATAGCGCTTTCACCGCATGAATTATAGTTTTACGCCTATCCGCGAAAGTCCACCAACGTCTAAGAGTACAGCGTCTAATAGCTGAGAGTGAAGCGAATCGGTCAGATCTCCAACTCGACCGTCTCCTAGAAAAGTCCCGTTGGGAAAGAAAGAATGTCGACGGAATCGGCGGCGAGCAATGCGAATAACGCACGCGCTTTACGCTCCGCGTGCGAATACATATAGCGCGAACGGTACTTTCTCGACAACCATATACGAGGTAATTAACGCAATCCTCGGCTCGTCTCCACGCGGTGCGAGATCGACTTTCCGAAGTCCCGCCGCTCGGCCGCTCCATGGCACGCACTGCACCTCGTGACTCATCGCCGTCAACCATCTCATCGTCACGCAGTGATCAATGAAGGGAGAGAACTATACCGCGAATCGCGCGCGGTTCGTTGAACTTTTAATCGCGCCACGCGGGAGAGCAAGGCGGGTCACACACGCCCGACACGCGCTCCTATAGCGTCGTCGTGTATATACAGGGTGTGTCGAAGGTCATGCTTCCTTTGATCCGCCAGTGAAAATCGCCGGA